TTGCTATTGCTATTGCTATTGCTATTCTCCTCCTTTATCAGCTGAGCCAGGGAAATAGGTAGGTTCGAATCCCAGTAAGGGTATGGCTAGCTGATGAGAGCTAAATAGCTTGAAATAGATCTATACTAGTCTCCCTTTATTGATTTATCAGCACAAATAAAACACACACACACACACACACATATATATATATAATAAATTCAATTCAAATTTATCACAAGGATGGGGGGTAGTGCTGACAGCTCTAGTCACAACCCTCTAAGCTACATGCCCCTGATTATGAAACTTAATTCCCCTTAATGTTTAAAAATCTTTTAATACCTAGAAAGACAGCAAAGAGTCCCATCTCACACCTAAAGGGTTGGTGGAAGGATACTATGTGAACTGCCCCCTCTCCCCCTCCCCCCCTTGGAAAAGAATGAAACCAAACCAACTGTCAAACTGTTAACCAGCATTCAAAAAACATGAAGGCTGCTGAGAAAGAAGACTTGAGATTTCCAGTTTTCCATCCTATATTTGTGAATGTCATTTAAGTCAGTGACATTCACAAATAATACACCATCCCTTCCCTGTGTCTTCAAGTTCCACGTTAAAAATATTTTTGAATCCATTTTTTACATTAACAAGAGTGGATTGTCAAACAGGAGACTGTGAATTACAAGTCTCTTAAAGCAAGGGCAATCATACCTTTTGAATTCATGATCTAACTTCATTTAGAAAGAGCAACCTCATATTTCTATAATGAACTAGCACTGGCCCTCCTCTCTTAATTTGTATAGTAACAGAAAGAGAAACTGTGTTTGGCCTTTATATTAAAATATTACAGAAATGATGGAGAAAATATTCGGGGTAAAGCACTCGAAATATTTAAGTATTATATAAAACTATTTGTGGAGAGGGGAAATTATTTAGGATACTCATTTTGAGAAGAGGAGAGAAAATGATTTCTACCTGATCTTCCTATGGCATTTGAAATTAAGTAACGAATTTACCAAAAAAACCCAAATAATTCCATGTACATTTTGGGGGGAAAGAGAGGAAGGCAAAGCATAGTGACCTCAAACAATTGCAAGGTATTTCCAAGAGAACATACTGAGTTTTTAAAGCACCAATGGGGTAAATTGTCAAGCATCTGAATCTAGGTTGCCTAGCATGCTGTATAAAACCAAAAGCAGGAGAACATCTAGGTAAGTCACTTTCATATTCCTATATACTCATACACATTTCCATTTAAAAACTACCTATCTACGAGTTGCCCAACTCCTGAGGTTTAGACTTGAAGATACAACCTGGAGACTCAGAGGTACACAGGTAGCCCTCAACTTATGGCCACAACTGAGGCCAACATTTCTGTTACTACGTAAGACATTTGTTAAGTGAGTTTTGCCCCATTGTACAACTCTTCTTGCCACATTTATTAAGGGAACCACTGCAGTTCTTAAATTAGTAACAGTTGTTAAGTGAATCTGACTTCCCTAATGATTTTGCTTGCCAGAAGGTTGCAAAAGGGGAATCACAGGACCCTGCAACATTGCAACCATCATAAATGTGAGTCCGTTGCCAAGCATCCGAATGTAAATCACGTGACCATGGGGATGCTGCAGTGACGACAACCATTGCATGCTACACCACCCTGTGACTTTCTGAGGGCTGCTAATACAGGTAGTCCTCGACTTAACAACGGTTCATGTAGTGACCGTTGACAGTTACAACTGGAAAAAGTGACGACCGTTTTCCCCACTTAATGACCATTGCAGCATCCCCATGGTCATGTGCTTTACATTCGGATGCTTGACAAGAGACTCATTTATGATGGTTGCAATGTTGCAGGGTCCTGTGATTCCCCTTTTGCAACCTTCTGGCAAGCAAAATCATTAGGGAAGTCAGATTCACTTAACAACTGTTACTAATTTAAGAACTGCAGTGGTTCCCTTAATAAATGTGGCAAGAAGAGTTGTACAATGGGGCAAAACTCACTTTG